CCTCTCAAATGACCAGTGATGAATGGTTTCATATCTTTATTTGCCATTTGTATTTCTTCATCTGAAAAATGTATATTCATTTCAGATGCCCATTTTTAGATTGTGTTTTAAGTGGGGGGGGTCAGATTTTTTGAGTTCTTTATATATTCTAGATTTTAATCCGGTATCTGAGGTACAGCTTGCAAAATATTTTCCCCACTCAGTGGGTTGTCTCTTTACTCTGTTGGTGGTTTCTTTTGTTGTGCAATACTTTTTGATAAAAAATCTCGGTTGTTTAATCTTTGTAATATTTCCTCTTTCATCATTGTTTTGTTCACATAATTTTCTCTATACTTGGGCCTTCAAGAGTTCTACCTAGAGGCCAGGGAGATAGCTCAGTAGAATAAGTTCTTCCCTGGCAAGCCCAAGCGTCTGAGTTCAATTCCCAGTTCTGGAAAAAAAGAGAGAGAGAGAGAGAGAGAGAGTTCTGCCTATTCTATCTTCTAGCATATTTAGTGCTTCTGTTTTAATATTTAGATCTCTGACCCATTTTGATTTGAGTTTAGGGCATGATGAGACATGTGGGTCTAGTTTTAGTTTTTGACACGTGAAAGCCAGTTTATCCAGCACAATTTATTAAAGAGGCTATTTTTCCTTCAGTGATGGTGTTTGGCTCCTTTGTCAAAGATAAGATGGCTGAGTAGGTTTTGAGTTGCATCTTGTAATCAGTTCCATTGATCCTTGAATCTGGTTTCTTTTGTTTGTTTGTTTGCCAGTACCATACTATTTTTATCATGGTAGCTTTGTAGTGTGTTATTTCAGGTTAGGGATTGTGAGGCCTCCTGTCTTGCCTTTGTTGCTCAGAAGTGCTTTTGCTATTCTAGGTCTCTTCTGGTTCCAAATGAATTTTAGGGTTATTTTGTCTAATTCTGTGATATATGCTTCTGGTCTTTGGATTGGTACTGTCTTAAATCTGTATACCAATTTTGGCAGTATGGTCATTTTAACTATATTAGTTCTTCCTAAAAAAACAAGGGATATCTTTTCATTTTCTGATGTCCCCTTTGGTCTCCTTTTTTCAGAGTACAGTACTGTTTACTATAAAGGTCTTTATAGCCCTTATGAGATTGATCTCTAATATTTAACTTTTTGTGGTATTATAAAAGGTGTGATTTCCCTAATTTCTTTCTCACTGAGTTTGTTTTTTCTGTATAGGAATCCTATTGATTTTGAAGTGTTGACTTTGTATCCAGCTATGCTGCTAAATTTGGTTATTAAATATAGCAGTCTTTTGATGGAGTTTCTGGGGTCTTCTATATAGAGTATCATGTCATCTGCAAATAATGATAATTAAATTTTTTTTCTTCTATCCTATTCCTTTTCTTTCTTTCTCTTGTCCAATTATTCCGGCCAATGTTTCCAAAACTATATCAAATAAGAGTAGTGATAGTGGACATCTTTATTTTGTTCCTGATATTAGAGTGAAAGCTTTCAGTTTTTGACCATTCAGTATGTTGTTGGCTTTTTTATAGATGGCTTTTATCAGATTGAGATAAAGACCATCTATTCTAGTATTCTATTGCGCCTCTTGGGCTAATGCAATCAGGTGCATAGGACCGCGTTTTGATTCCCAGCTCTAAAAGCTGCACCAGACCTGCCCTTAAGGCAGCATTAAGTAGCCAAAAAAAAAAAAAAACTCCTTCCAATATTCTGTAGCATTTTTATAATGAATGGGTGTTGGACTTTGTATAATGTTTTTTCTGCATTTATTGAGATGATCATAGTGTTTTTGTTTTTGGTTCTGTTAATATGATGCAGTTCATTTATTGATTTGCATGTGTTGAACCATCTCTGCATTCCTGGTATGAATTCTACTTGGTCATGGTGTATAATTTTCTTGATGATTTGCTGCATTCTGTTTGCCAGTATCTTATTGATTATTTTTGTTATCTAATGTTCATTGGAGAGATCGGCCTGTAGTTTTTCGTGTGTGTGTGTGTGTGTGTGTGTGTGTGTGTGTGTATGTGTGTGTGTGTGCAGGGTCTCATTACACACCTCAGACTCGTAGTGATCCTCCTGATTTCTGCCTCACTAATGCTGGGATTACAGGCGTGCGCTATCACACCCAGACTCCATCGCTGGCTCAGTGCGCCCAGGGGTGGGGCCAGTGCAGCATGCGGAGCCAGGGATGGAACCCTGGCCCCTGCACTTACCAAAGGAAGCACTTAGTCCACTGAGCTATACTACTGATCCTTTTAGTTTCTTCTGTTTGGATTCATTTCTAGTTTTAGTATCAGGGTAATCCTTGCTTCCAAGAATGAGTTGCAGAGTATTGCTTCCCTTTCAATTTCATTAAAAAGTTTAAGAAGTAGCAATATTGGGCTGCAGAGATAGCTCAGTGGTGTAATTGTCTACCTGGTGTGTGTGTGTGTGTGTGTGTGTGTGAGAGAGAGAGAGAGAGAGAGAGAGAGAGAGACAGAGAGACAGAGAGACAGAGACAGAGACAGAAACAGAGAGACAGAGACAGAGAGACAGACGAGAGACAGAGACAGAGTTAGTAGCATTACGTCTTCTCTAAATTTCTTGTAAGATTAAGCAGTGAGTCTGTCAGGGCCTGTGCTTTACTTTGTTGGTAGGTTTTTAATTGCATCTTCAATTTTATTGACTGATACTGGTTTATTTAGGATTTTCATATATTCTTGGTTTAGCTTTGGTATTTCATATGTATCTAGGAATCTATCTATTTCTTCTTCATTTTCCATTTTATTAGAAAAGAATTTTTTTTTTTTTTTTGGTTAGCTCAGGCTGCCTTAAGGGTGGGTCTGGTGTGGCATGTGATGCTATTGATTTCCAATTCCATTGTACAATGGTCTTATGATATACACGGGATAATTTCAGTTCCTTTGCATTTACTGAAGCATGTTCTGTGGGGCTAGGGTGTGGTCTATTTTGGAGAATGTCCAATGTGCAACTGAGAAGAATGTGCATTCCGATGTTGCAGGGCGGAGCACTGAGTAGATATCTATCAAGTCCATTTGTTCAAAAGTTTGTTGCTATTCAAATATTTTGCTGACCTTCTTGTCTAGTTGAGCCGTGTGTTTCTGACAGTGCGGTATTGAGGTCTCCCATTAAAATTGTATTGATGCTGCTTTGATTTTTCATGTCTGTTAATAGTTGATTTATATTATTGGCACACCGGCATTTGGTGCGTTTATATTTATGATTGTTATCCCTTCTTGAAGTCTTCCTTTAACAACTATCTAATGCCCTTCTTTATTCCTTTCCATCAGTCTTGGCTTAATACCACTTTGTCTATAAATAGAATATCTAACTCTGCTTTGTTCCAGGTTCCTGGCACATGAAGTGTTATTTTCCACCCTTTGAATTTCATCCTATGAATTTCTTTTTGAATTAGACATGTTTCTTGTATATAGCATGTGGTTTCTTGATTCATTCTGCCCACCTTTTTCTTTTCATTGGTGAATTGAGACCATTTGATTGATAGTTATAACTGATATGTATTAATTTATCCTTGTCATATAATTTCCTTATTTTTGTTCTCTTTCATTCCCCCATTGTTTCATCGCCTGCCTCCCCTGGAAGATTCATTCTGGTGGGGTTTATGGAACATAGTCCTTGTTATAATGTTTTTGAATGTCCTTCAGAATATTTTAGAGTGCTGATTTGGCCATCATGAATTTCCTCAGGTGTTCTTTGTCATGAAAACATCTTATTTCTCCATCAATTTTGAAAGATGGTTTTGCGGGGTGCATTAATCTGGGTTGGAGGTTTTCTTTTAGGGCTTGAAATACTGCACTCCAAGCTCTGCTTGACTTGAGAGTTTCTGTTGAGAAGTCTGCTGTGGTTCTGATGCACTTTCTTTTATAAGTTTTTTTCTAACATCTTATAATATTTTGTTCATGTGTTGATTTTCTGAGATCTTGCCTATTATGCCTTGATGTAGTTTTATCATGACTAATTGGAGTTCTATGCACCTCACTTATCTGTCATTTCCTTCTCTGCCAGTGAAGTTTTCTGCTATGACTTATGTGAACATAGTTTTTATGTCATTTACTCTATTTCCTGCTTTTTCCTTGATTCTAATTAATCGTATGTTATTCTTTGCATCATCCAGCAGCTGCTCCATTAATTTATCATGTCCTGTTCATTTATCATGTCATATTTTTTGTGTGTACTTCTTTTTGAGACAGGGTCCCACTACGCAAGGCAGGCTAGCCTTCGGCTCACTTTGTAGCCCAGGTTAGTCTTAAACTCACAATGATCCTCCTGCCTCAGCCTCCAGAGTGCTGGGATTATGGGCATGTGCCACCATGCAGGCTCCCTTACTATTTCTAAGAAAGCTTCCTTTTCATGACCACTTACCACAGTTTTGTCTTCTAGATCTGATATTCTGTCCTCAAATTGCAATTGGCTTATTCTGCTGCATATCCTTTCAATGGAATTTTTAATCTCCATAATATCTGTTTTAATCTGTTTCATGGATTCCATTTCTTTCCTATGTTAGGAATTCTTGATTTACAACAGTTTCCTAAGCTTCTCTCACTCTTGTTTTTTTTATCCGTATCTACTCTAGATTGACTACTTGCATCTTTCATTTTGGTCATCATATGTTTAGTTATATGAGAAATTATAATTTGAATTTTTTTTCTAGAGCCTCCTTCATTTGCAGTGTTATTTCCACTGTTATCATTTCAGAGAGTTGGGTGGTGGCTTTCAAATTGTTGCATTTCACTACCTCTTGGGTTTTCCTTGGGTGACCTGAAAGTCAGGGGATACAACTTACTTCTGTATATTCTCATTTTTTATACTTTTTAAAGTTTAATTTCTCTGCTCTTGCTTACAAGTTGCTTATAGTAGGTAACTTTATTTCTAGTATTGAGAACTCCTTAGCACATGACTACTTTACAGAAATGTCTTCTAAGTGTAGCTCACTTTTGGATTTTGAATCTGTCACAACATACCACAGCTTTAATTTATTTGGAATGAAAATTTGATGCCTAGTGCTTGCTTCGGCAGCACATATACTAAAATTGAAATGATACAAGAAGATTAGCATGGCCCCTGCACAAGGATAGCATGCAAATTCTCGAAGCGTTCCATATTTTTTCTACAGCTACTTTCTCTTAATTCAATGAGAAGAAAGATTTGTACTAATAGTGTTTGGACAGGATATCATGTCTGCATCTTGTCCTATGAATAACCACTATGAAGACAACAATATGCAATGTACTAATTATTGAAACCGTCCTACTAATCGGTTTTGAAATTATCTCATTGCTATTTGTTTCTCAATAAAATCAATAAAAAAAAGTTGATGCCTACTTTGTCCAGGTTCCTGTTCCTTGACACTGTCCTATAGTATTGCTTATGACCCTTTGGCAATATCAGACTTGCAACTCAAGAACAACCAATTAAGATAGCTATATCACCTTCTCTACTGTAGTACAACCAGTAATAACAGTAATATCAAGCATAGCCTAGATAATGACAAACTATGGAAGTTGGGTGTGGTGATTCATACTTGTAATCCCAGCACTTGGGAGACTGAGGCAGGAGGATTGTTGCAAGTTCAAGACTAGCCTGGGTTACAAAGTAAGTTGTAGGCCAGCCTGAACTGGATAGTGAAATGTTGTCTCAAAAGGAGAAAAAAGAAAAGAAAAATGACAAGCTGTGTTAACTATTAATTTGCCACTTTTAACCACACAAATTAGATTTGTAGTTATATAACCAAATTTAAAATAAATTTAAAAATTTATAGTGAATATTCCCTCAATATAATGATTTTATTCTCAGGGAAGAAAACTACAAAGGGTAAGAGAAAAAAAAAGAAAAATAGGAGAAGTAAAAGAAATTAGACCCAAGGCTGAAGGACAAAGGAAGATTAGCCAAGCTTTGGGAAACAAGCTTTGGGAAGACAGGAGGCAAGGAAATAAAAGAAGAAATAGAAACAAGAACAGAACAAAACAATAAAAAAAATTGCACAAAAAAAGCAAGAGAGAACAAAAGAACTCAAAAACTATTTTCACGCTCATATGAGAACAAGAAAGAAAAAAACAAAGTAAAGAAGAAAACAAAATTTCTACTTCAGGGCATGTCTCTGCTGTCACTATTAGACAAAGGGGGGCAGACAGAGCGCAGATCCACATTGGTCAGTCCCAGCAAGCCTGCAGTAGGGTGATGGGTAATCCAAGCAAGCCTGCCCCTTCAACTATGCTGAAGTTCAGGCTGTTTCTGGTTGTGAGGCTGGGACCTGAGTTGTTCAGCTCATAATATACATCTTGCCAATTTGAACTTGGCCCCTGGGCCCTGGGCGTCCCCTCTGGCTGAGTCTCATCCTGAGCTTGGGAGCCTCACGATGGTCCCAACCCACTGCTGCTCTGAGTCCCAGGTTGGGTTTCTCCCTTTCCAAAGCTGCAACTGGCCAGTTGCCCTCTCCTGGGTTTGAATTGGAGTCACTCACCAGCCACTGCAGCCTGCACCATCGACTGCTTTGTTCCACTGGTGCATTTCCCTCTGTAGGCCTCTAGAGTCACCCATAGCCACCAGGCCTCTGTGGGTTTGAGCCACCTCTGTTATGATGAGAACTGTGACTACAGGAGAAAGCACTACTTTCTACCTCCTTCTTCTGTGCTGTGGTCAGTGTCTTTCCCCTGTGGTCTCCACTTCTCTCCTCAGCTCCTTGTACTTCCCTCCTTCTTTTCCCCACATTGCTATATTCCAGCATCTGGACTCCAAATCTCAGAGAGACTGATTTGCTGTTGTTTGCCTCTCTGCCATTTTCCCAGAAATCCCCAAATACATTTCTAAAATAATTACTCTTAAGCTGGGTATGGTGGCAGTACTCTAATTCCAGTATTCAGGAGGCTATGGTAGGAGGATCATTGCACGTTCAAGACCAGACTGGGCTACAAAGTAAGCTCAAGGCCAGCCTGAACTGCATAGCAAGACCCTGCCTCAAAAAAACAAAACAAATAAACACACAAAACTTAACAGTAAAGAGGACTGCAACGTAATGGCCAAAGTCTCACTTCACTGGAAAGACATAATTCCAAGTTGTATAGGATCCATATAAATAGTCCTAAGACATATAAAATAAAGAGAAGAGAATTACAAAGAGAAATTATAAGAAGAAATTAACGTACCACAAGAATGAGAGGTTTTGACATATCTCCATCAGGTATTTAATATATGAAGAATAAAAAAATTAGAAAGATTTGAAAATGATAACTGACAAGTGTAGTTGTTTGTTAACATACTTACCTCGTGTGGGGAGACAACTCTCCATCGATTTTTGTGCAAGTCTTGTGAGTACAGCTCTTGTTGTAGATTATCTTGTTCAAGGAGGCTAGTATGATAAACAGCCATAGAATATAAGGTCAGCAGTAACCTGATTTATTGAACTGATAGCAGCACAAGCCTTAAAGATTTCCTGACAGTATGACATTTCTTCATGCTCTCTTCTCTCAGAACAATGAAAGCTCAATAAATCTTCTATTAACTTTTACAAAATGAAACTGGATTCTTTCCCTAGTAAATGTCCCTGCATCACTCATATACTCAGATATGTAAGTAATGCATGTGTCCCAATCCTACCCCAGAAAGTTTACTTCGTGTGTGTGTGTGTGTGTGTGTGTGAGAGAGAGAGAGAGAGAGAGAGAGAGAGAGAGAGAGAGAGAGAGAGAGTCCCTAGGACTTGAGCCTAGATTTTTTGAGATGAACTACATCCTTAGTTCTTTCTAAATTTTATTGTATTTTTGAGACAAGGTCTTGCTAAATTGTCCAGGCTGGGCTCAAATTTGTGATCCTCCTGCCTCAGCCTTCCAGAGTTCTGGGATTATAGGTATGTGCCACCAAATCCAGCTTGAAAATTTATTCTTAATTTACTGGAGCAGGAGGTAAAAGGTCTAAGTATCTACGAGAAACTTGAAGTGCCCAACTCTAGAGAAGGAGATCTAATGATTCAGGCTTTGAAAAGGAGAGAGAACTGGTAACAGCCTCTGCCTGAGGCGCCCACTTCCAAATCAGAAGTGTTGTTGTGCTGTGAATTCTACATGTCAACTTGACCTGGCTACAGGATGCCCAGGTAGCTGGGTAGACATTATTTGGGGGCATGTTTCCAGACTGCCTGAGCATCAGGGTTGGTGTACAGAGGAAAGCAGGTGCCCCTCCCCACGCTGGCCTCACCCACGCTCTAGAAGGCCTGTGGAGTAGTCTGTTTTCTCCTGTGTTCACAGAAATACCACAGGCTAAGTAAGTCATAAAATAAAGAATGTAATTTATCATCATTCTGGAGGCTGAAAAGCCCAAGACTATGGACCTAGCCACCGAGGAGGCCTCCCTGGTCACCATAACGTGCAGAAAGACAGTGCTTCAACTCAGCAGAACACTGCCCTTCCTAAAGTTCCTCCTGGGCATGTGCCTTCCCAGTAGGGCTTTTCTATATCCATTACTGTGCTCATTTGCTCTTACAAATAAGGAGACCAGAGGGCAGGAAGCAGATGTCAGCTGCTGAGAGTGGCCCTCCAAAGGAGAGCCTGGATTTCAGCCACTGTCCCCCCAGTGGAGGTCATCTCAGCAAAGGTGGAGCCTGTGGAGGGAGCAAGTTCTCCAACCACAGTTCATCCCACGGTGGTACTTGTTCCCTCTGGCTTTCAGCAAGAGACTGAGTGAATTTTTGGCCATAATCTTTTTCTTTTTTGAGACAGGGTCTTGCTATACAGTTCAGGCTGGCCTTGAACTCACTTTGTTGCCCAGGCTGGTCTCGAACTCAAAATGATCTTACTGCCTCAGCCTCCTGAGTGCTGGGATTACTAGCATATGCCACCATACCTGGCCTCTTGGTCTTCATCTTCACAAATTGAACTTGAGGCACGTTTTGTAATGCATACTCAGTGGACACCTAGGAGATGTGGACTTCCCTAATGCACCCCACCCGAAGTTCAGTTTTTTAGTCTTATGTGGAAATTATTTGTTCGTTTATTCCTTCCTTCTTTCAGTAGACTTGTACTGTGCAGTGAGTGTTACATGGTCTCAGTCTTATTGGGGCTGGTGGTGGGGTGGAAAGATGGGTTTGGCAGGCAAACCACCAAGTAGCGTGCATGCGTGTCCCCAAAAGTTGAGGGAATGCAATTCATAATTAATTCTGCAGAGGAAAGGAGATCATGCAGCAGGGAAGATAGCTGAGAACCAAATGGGCCTGGAATAACTGTGAGCTGGGGAGTGAGCAGACTCCCGGCTCCTGGGGCAGGTGTCCAGGCACAAGGCTGTGCTCACTGTCCTGACTGTTCTGGGCCAGACAAGGGCAAAGAAGGGGAGGCAAGTGATAGTAACCAGTGTCCCAGCATGAGGAGCAGAGAAGGCCTGGAAAAGAAGGAGGAGAAGATTCGAGTTGACCCCGAAGTCCCTTTCTAAAACAAGTCTAAGAGTTCCTAGAGGAGCCCACCGGGCCCATCCTGCACAGCAGGGCAGAGCTGGGAAGGGACAGCTTTTGGTTGTGGTCCCTGGAATCCCCCTCCTTCTCTCCAGCAGCTCTATGGCCACATACAGGACCCTAGTCCTAAGAGACGTGGCTACTTAAAGTCACACCTTGAGCCCAGGGCTTGTGGCCCCTGACAGAGAGCCAAAGAGAGACAGCTTGTTGCTAAAAAACTACTAGTGGAGGGGCTGGAGAGATGGCTCAGTGGTCTAAAGCACCTACTTAGAACAAGCTTGGCAAGGCATCAGGG